TTATGAGGTTGTATAGTTTAGACATTGAATAATTATTGAGATTTTATTGTATAGAAATTGCATTGACATTGAGATTGGTTTCAAGAGAAAGCACCCATGTTTAATTAAAATAAATGATTTTGACTTTGACTTACTCAATCAATAAAGCCGTTTCTTACGGAACAGTGTATTTAAGACAAGATTTTCTGAGAAACCTATACAAATACAAAAAACATATAAAACTTACATTCAATAGCCCTGTTGATCTTAAGGTCGCGAATCGTCTGAGCCTCTGCTAATTGATTCTGCAGAAATTGTATCTGAAATCACAACAAAATGTTAATTTAAAAATATGTTATTCTAATTTAATAGATAGAATAGAAAATTTGTTGACGTCATAAGTCGGTATTTCATACAAAATTCATATTTAAGTACTGGAGAGTCATGCTTCGACACGAATGGGCCGGCTCGACCGGAGTGATACCACGGCCTCACAGAAAACTGACGTGAAGCAACGCTTGCGTTGTGTTTCGTCGTGTGAGTGAGGTTATCCGAGACCCAATAACCCCCTCCCCCACTCCCCCTTCCCCAATCTCCCCAATCCCTGAATCTCCAACATTCCTCAAATTCCTAATCCCCAAAAGGCCGGTAACGCATTTGTAATGCCTCTGGTGTTCCAGGTGTCCATGAGCGACGACGATTGCTAATCATCAGGTAATTCGTCTGCTCGTTTACCGACTTAGCCCATAAAAAAGTATTGAATTTAACTAGTTGTCAACTACCGTATCATATGCTTACCCTCTTCAGAGCGTAGACAAGTAGGACATCGGTATCTCCGCGTATATTCAGTTTGCGTGCACTAAGGTCGAGGCCGGGAAACAGCGCCTGTAGCTCGTCCTTGAACATGGTACGAGCCGCCTCTACCTATACAAAGGAAAATAAACTTTATAAACAATAAATCCCTAGTAAAAAAAAAAAACAAAAAACGCGCTTTTAATCATAATATCGTCATCAGGAGAAATGGGAACATCTAGCTAAAACTTGCTATGTTTATAAATTACTAGCAGCAAGGCTTCGCAAGGGGTAGACATTTTTTTTTTTCAAAATGAAATGTAGCCTATCTCGAATTGGAAGAATGTAGCATTCTATTGGTGAAAGAATTTTTTAAATCGGCCCAGTACTTTTTGAGCCTATTCATTACAAACATACAAACATACAAAAATAGGTACAAATCTTTCCTCTTTATAATATTAGTTATTATTATAGATAGTATAGATAAGTTGTAGCCCAAGGTCCCATCACCCACTTCCCAATTCTATAATTAAACCATCATGGGGTCATACATAAATTACGTCATATGAATGTCATGATTTTTGCCCCTGCCCCCGTCCTTGTCACAAAGTCACATTTGTGAAAACATAAAAACGAATCCCTTTTTCTCTTGGTTACGGCATCACGCGTGAATAGTTGGACCGATTTCGCAAATGTTTGTTGTATTTGTTATTTTTAGGAGAAGGTTCTTAAAACAGAAAAGATCCTGATAATACTGTGGGAACGGGAGAAAACAGGGTTGCGCGTACGACGCGTGTTCAAGGCGATCTGGGAATGGTTTAGATTCACAAATCAGCCCGGCAGATGGCGCTGCAGTCGGTGCCTTGGTTATTTATCCTATACGGCTGAATTAATTTGAATGAATTTTTTTTTATACTTTCAAGTGGATATGCAGGACAACGTCTGTCGGGTCCGCTAGTCTTATATAAAATAAAGAGCAATAACAACATACCTTATTCCAATACTTATCGCTGATTACAGATTTCTCCTGTTCAGCACTGAAATTCTTCTCGGCTTGTATGAGGTCTGCGCGGAACTGCTTGATGTAACGCTTGGTTGTAGCCTGGCTTTCTGGCGGTGCCTTCATGCCAGTCTTGATCATACGGTCTAAGTTCTCTGGAAATGAGGATATAGTATGCATTAGAAGAATAATAATAAGAGAAACATAGCTCATAGCCATGGTCCGAGGTATAATTTTATTTAAAAAACAAAACGTTGCTCCACATTTGTTGTGGGTACGTTTACAAAAATACACGTTTATTTTTTTTTTACCCAGATGCGAAACAATAACTTATGGAATACACAAAGAGTTGTTCCGTGCGAGTGTCGAACCCGCGACACGTTGCTCGGTAGCCGGTTGCTTAACCACCGCACCAACCGTGCAGTATAAGAGGTAATATAGCATTTTTATGGGATAGGGAAGTTAATGAGCACATAGATTACCAGAGGGCTTTGTACGAGTTTGTGTTCAACACTCTGAATGGCCGGCTCCAATGAATCAACTAATTAGAGCGCAAATGCGGTCTCGTTTCGATTACTTTTTAAAACTAAAAACAAACTCGTACATGTTAAGCAATCAGCGCCGCCCATTGACAGTCGCAATAGTCGAGGAAACAAGTGCGTTGCAGACTATTTAGGTCTGTAACTAAATCTCAAGCTTTTTTAAGGGGGTAAAATCATCGAATGACTTCTCCCGCCTGGGTGTGAGTTACTGACTAAAAACCACCCCGTTCCTCGGGAAATCTCAAGCTTGGGTCTCCAGTAACCTCATTCAAATAGCGAAACACAAACGGCGTTGTTCCACGCCAATTTTCTTTGAGTAATATCGCTTCGTTCGATCCGGCGCATACGTGCTGAAGCATGGCTCTCATTTCTTGCATTCAGGATATCATTTTATGGTATAAGCCGGTAAACGAGCAGACAGATCACCTAATGATAAGCAATCCGCGTCGCCCATGGACACACGGAACACCAGAGGCGTTACAAGTGCGTTACCGGTAAGGGAATTTGAAGATTTTTGGGGATTCAGGGATTGGGGAGATTGGGGAGGGAGGTCATTTGGCCTCCGGTAACCTCACTCACACGACGAAACACAACGCAAGCGTTGTTTCACGTCGGTTTTCTGTGAGGCCGTGGTATCACTTCGGTCGAGCCGGCCCATTCGTGCCGAAGCATTGCTCTCCCACACTTAAAGGATGCTGGATGTTATTCCAAGAATCATTCAGCATTTAAGGCCAAATTTTAAAATTTTGTATTAAACTGTCATACACCGCGAGGACACCGATGACCGCAACCTATTCTTTCCGGTTCTTTAATTGTGTCTATAATGACGGTACTCAAAGGGTTAATGAATATCTAGATGTACAAAGTGAACTTACCAATAGCACATTTGGCTTTAGCGGAGGCTGCTTTTGCCTTAACATGTGCGTTGTGCATCTGTTGTTGTAGACCTTGCAGTCCATTGAAGTATTTCTTATCCAAATCATCCAAGGACGCTTCTATGATCTGAAGCAATACGATATTATTGGATTTTTAACTTTATCACAATGTCATAGAGTTGCTAATAATAAAGAACAGAATTTTGATCTTTCGCTATATGTGAGCACATTAGACTATAAGATATTTTTTTTAATTTTATTATGTTTTTATTTCAGTAATTTTTTTAATTTGTATTCTGCATCAAACAAGAAAGTCATTAACATTATTCTCACATACATATGCAATATTCAAGTGTGTATCAGAGCGATTGCAAAACATACTATTTTTAAAAGAGTAGAGAATGGAGTTTCTTGCTCGTTCTTCTCCACTCGAATCTACTTTTTGGAACGAGCACATAGCTTCATTGACGGACTGTTATTTATTATATATTTGTTGACATTTCAAGAGTACTAAATTATGGTTAAATTGAAATAAATGCTTTTGAGTTTAATGTCCAAAAATAACAAAGTTAAAAATTTGTTTTATTCACATTAGAGGCAACATATGAATAAAAATTATACAAAAAAAAAACATTAAATAGGTTTGTTTTTGTTTTTTTAAATAAACGTTGCCCCACACTAGGATTTTCTCCTGTGTCGTGGGTGCGTTTACAAACATACAAGTTCACATACACATCACACCCAGACCCGAAACAACAATTTGTGGATCACACAAAGTGTTGTTCCGTGCGGGAATCGAACCCGCGACACGTTGCTCGGCAGCCGGTTACCCAGCCACCGCACCAACCGTGCAGTCTAAACAGGTAACAATAGACCAACAAACCTTGAACAAAGCTTTATTGTAGTCAGCACAGTACTGTGTCGCCAGTTTATAGTTGTCTATGGCGATCTTCGTGTTCTCGTGCATTTCTTGCTCAAGTTCCACCATATCCTTAGTAATCTTCACTTCTTGAGCCGTCTGAGGCTCGCATTTGTCAGTTTGAACCAAAGTCGCTGAGAAATATGGTTCAAATTAGATTGCTTGCTTAGAAGAGTGTTTAAAAAAGTGACAGTGGCATATTGGACCTTGAGACTCTTGAAAATAAGGTTTGAATTAAATACTTGTGGATTTCTGATAGATTATTGTGTAGGTTGTAAATCTGAATGTATCCAAATGACAAATGTTTTTGTTTAAACCTTATGAGCTAAAGGTTAAGGCATAAAATTATGACAAATGTATCTATAAGAAGTTAATATAAATACCTAGCAAATAAGTTCAATATTTGCTTAAAGCACCCAACGGATACCAACAAGTTTGCCAAACGAAAATTAACCTAAATTTAAACTACATAAAGTTAAATTTTATTTAATGGGCTGTTGTACATGCACTTACCTTTACTTTCAATTTGCGGTGTAGTCACAACCTTTTCCTCGACGTACAATGGTTCGATTACCGGCGGTGGCACTGTTATATGAACACACAACTAGTTACGTTAGTTATTATTAGACATTTGGGAACATGGAATGATGTTATTAGTTAATTACAAAAAAAAACATGCATTGGTATGTTTGTTTTGTCTGTATTAAGGCCGATTTTTCATTCATCAGTTAATTCTTAACTGTAGAATTAAATTGACATTTGATATTGAAAGTAATTTCTCAGTTAAAATTTATCTTAATATTGAAAAATGGGCCCCTGCTAAACTCCCAAGCGGCCACCGGTGACCAATCTCCACTTAATCCATTATAGACCTTATTTCCAATGTTTAGAGACTACTTACTACTACTTTCGTATAAACATGAATAAATATGGATTTTTCATACTCGGGAATTAATAGTTAGAGGTCCATTTCGGATAAGTATTCGTTATTTATGGAACAGAGAGGCAAACAAATCATCCGATGGTAAGGCCTGATCCTTTACCTTTAGGTGATTCCTCTGCTCCTTTAGAGACACTTTAAACACCCATGTGAAAATAGAGGACCCATGTGAATATGGACATCAGAGGGCTTAAGTACGAGTTTCTTTTCTTAAGTACGAGACGGCGTCCGGCGTTCTGATTGGTTGGTTCATTGAAGCCGGCCAATCACAGCGCCGAACGCGTACTCGTTCAATTACTTTCAACGTAAAAGAAACTCGTACTAAGGGCTTCAGGTAAATAAAACATAAGGGATGAACATTCCATACATTGAGTATTCTAACGCACGAATACTGAAAGGCTACCCAATTTTAAATAGTACTTAAAAATCGTGACATCTCTGTCATTTTACAAAGAATTAGTAGTGACAGAACTACGAATAGTGCCACTAACCATTATAGACCTTATATCAGATGTTTAGAGACTACTTTTGTATGAACAAATTTAGGGGATGTTATCATAATCATCATCATCAACACCCTATAAATGCCCACTGCTCACGCGGAGAAGGTTTGAGCATTAATCACCACGCTTGCTCATTGCGGGTTGGCGATTTCAAACTTATAATTAGAAAATATAAGCCCAGGTTTCCTCACGATGTTTTCCTTCACCATTTGTCAGTGGTGTCTAGATAATCTTAGAAAGTACATATAACTATGAAAATGTCACATTGGTACTTGCCGTTGGTAGGTTTCGAACCCCGACCGGACCGATATCAACGTATTACGCGCGACTTAAAATTGAGCGGGTAGCCTTTCATTATTTGGACATTAACTTATTCGACTAATGAGAATGATGTATATGAAAAATGTATCATATTATCTGCTTGCTAATATGTAATGGCTAGCAACACATGTATAGTGCAATAAGTAGTAGTAACATTGTTCATTATATAATCCCTTTTAAACACTTAAGAACAAGAAACGGAGCCACCAGCATTTTTCTTCTTAATTTCTTGATAAATATTTACATCACTAAGCTCTATACTATGCATGATAGTAATTGCATAAACCCACTATTAGCTATTTAAAACGTTATTATGTTTGTATTAGACTATGGGTTCCATCGCCCGGAAAAATAACCATTTTAATCCAAAATATCTGAATCATTAATTTTAGAGACGCTCAATACAACTAACGTTTAAAATCGAGAAACTCAATGCAATTAATGTCAAAAATCGATCTTGAATCGAATATTATAGATTAAAATCAGTTATTAATTAAATTTACATTTGTGGTTCCACTCACATTGATACGTTTTCTTGGCGAATTTTATCGCAGCATCCTTTTCAATATCCTGTTCGGATCTCGAGCATACTTCTGGTGGAGTAACGCCTTCCTGTAATTATGATTTAAAAACCAAGAATAAAAATGCAATTTACATATTTTGGCAATTTGCTCACCCCCTATTACATGGGACTCATAACATAAATAGTGAAAAGTGGGTGTAGGCAGGCTTCGGGGATAAAAGGCGTGATGTTATGTTATGTAATAAAAAATTCTACTAGGCTATTAGTCGACTAGACGGAAACGGTAAAAATCTCAAACCATCGCGATGGATAGATGTTTATTTATTTCTTTTGTTTATTTATTAAGAGACAAAAAACAGTTACAAAATGTTAAATCAAACGTCTTACCCGAAACAACAGCTACAGTAAATGTTCTTTTTAAGAAGAAATTTAATAAAGATTGTTGATCAGTAGGAACATACCGACAGTGCATATGTACACATTGTAATAACTAGCTGTTGCCCGGGACTTCGTACGTGTAGAGTATTAATTTTAGAACAGAATTTTTTTTTGTTTAATTTTTCTAAAATAAAAGTAGCCTATGTTACTCCTTAGTACATCAGCTACCTGCCAATAAAAGTCTTGCAAAATCGATTCTAGCGACAGACACTGACAAACATTGTAAAAGATGTTATTTAGGTATGTGTATTGTATGTATATTCATATGAATTTAGTAAATAGCAGTTATTTTAATATTACAAACAGACACTCCAATTCAATTTATCTGTATGTATAATTTCGTGTTCCTTCTGTTTTTCAGAGGAAGTTTTGGTAGGGGCGGGCCACAATGTAAGTACTAAAATCATAAAATACCTTTCCGAACATGAAATGGCTGAGATAAGTGGTGGTCCTGTTGAACTGGTTGGTGGCTGCCTTCCAATAGGTGGTGTTCTCCTGGTAGACTAGAGCTACGACGTCGTTAGCCCAAGGGATGTTTGACTCTAGCCAGTTGCGAGCATCTGGACTGTTCCTGAATAAAATGAATTGTAAATTGGTAATTTTAAATTTATTATTGTAATATTACCTTTTTTTTTGAGGGGAGAAAATCATCCTATGACTTCTCCCGCCCGGGTGAGGCGGGAGGGAGTGTCAGACTCATACTGACTAAAAACCACCCCGTTCCTACTCCTGCACTTCGAGCCGGAGCCCCGGCAACCCGTTAAGTCTTCCGCGGTTCCGTATCGGCATCAGCCCTGTTAGGCCCCATCTGTGGTGGTCTGATGGCTCCTTGAGGCGCGCGCGGAACGCGACGCGCGGTACGCTCGGGCCTGGTTCTGGTCGGGCGGCGAGTCACCCCTGCTCGCCGTGTTTAATATTACCTATGCTACTATGCTGTGTTGTTACACATAGCAAGGAATCTTGAGTTCGATTTCTAAATTGGGTGTCAGCCATATCAGGCTCCACCCATAAATAACTGTATAATTTTGCAAGTGTGTTTGTAAACATGTCTATGTTATGCAAAGTTGTGATTGGATCTGCGGATGGCGAGGAAGGGTAGCTCGCCGCCCGACCAGAATCAGACCTGTGCATTATTATTTTGACTTTAAAATATTTTACTCAGCATGCTATTACTTAAATAAAAAAACTGATTTACCATAAATACCATATACATTACTTAGGTACCTACATATTTAAATAGACAGAATAAAAATGATAAAGCTAGTCTATAAAATCTATGGGCTATAGTAGTCCGATAATAAAGTTTTAAATAAAAAAACACATACTTAGCATAGACAATGGACGCTCCAGTAAGTACAGTGGCACCTACAGCTCCCCAGAATAGCTTTGTGGATTTTGGACGCTTTGGGGCTGCATCGCATTTGTCCTTTGTTGCATATTGTCGGTGTGGTGCCCGCATTACTATTAGGGCAGCATAGGAACTTTCGCCCACATGCCGCCGTACCTGAAGGAAATGAAATAAGAGATGAGGAAAGTAATTTAACTGTCATATATTTTTCTGATTGATTGATTTTTAAGGAAACTAACTTCTCTAATTTGTTGATTGATGGCTAAAGTAAGTAGATATTATAATATTTTATTTAGAAATTTTTATGATATACCTCCTATGTAGTATGTGGAATGGAACCTAATATAATTATGTACTTACTGTATCACAATAAGGGAGTGTTCATATTTGTGTAGCAGAGAGCCCAGAGCAAATATTAGGTGTTTTTTTTTTAACATGACATAGGTACCTAAAGCTGGTTTAGTATAATTAAATTTGATTATATTGAACATTTGTCAGTTGGAAAAGGTTGAAAAGCTAACGAAGATTCTCCACATCTTAACACGGATCACTTAATTATTAATTTTATACCAATTTTGAAATTCTTTTCCTAAAGTAATTTACCTAAAAGATAAATAATTTTAAGGAAGTGAGAACTATTTTCATAATAATAAAAGTTATCAAAAATATAGTACCTACAATGAATACCTACATAATGTAAACAGTAATTAACATAATTGAAACAGCGAAATATATAGTAAATAACTTAAAATAGGTATCAAACATATAGGTAAAAATTATGTAAACGTCATAAAACCTACTTTAGCACAAATCGCTAGTCTGTACACAGCCTAACAAATAATTTGTAGGTTATTTGTGAAAATGACGTCCAAAGATTGTTATGTAAGGGACAACAAAACCAAGGTCCGTGTTTATGTTTTTGATAACAGATGTAAACTTTAATTCACTGATGAATAACTAAAATTAGAATCTGAATTAACTAAGAAACACTGAAAAACATAATCAAAACATTGGATAACTGATCAATACAAGTCTGATCAAACACTCGTTAAGCAATGAAATAGGGGTGAATTAATATAATTCTGATAACTAAATTAAATTAGAATTTGTACATACCAATACTAATTTAGCATTAGTTAAATGGTTCGTAAATTTATACATTTTTCGGCACGAATCTCTTTCCACTTGGGCTGTCAAAATTCAGAGACTACAGATTTGCGACCACCGAGAATAGACGGTTTTTGTCGTAGGTCAGTTTTTTAGGCAGATTCATTTTGTAAACATTAGTCGATTACATCTGGAAAATAAAATTAGGCTAACAATAAATCAGATTTTAAAGATATACGTATATACGATATAAAACATTACTTTTATGTTATAAAACAGGTAATTGTGATTGTAAAAGCACTCAATGATAATATCACAACACAACTCTTGAACACAACAATATGAAGTGAAGCGAACAAAATGTAATTGTCAACTTGACAGCTGAAACCTCAAAGCATTTTCCCATCACTTGATTACTTACATAAAAATAAAATTGGGTTTTGGTTGATCGATGGTTGTGTTTTCCTAAAATGTTTCGTTTGGCGATTTCTGGTAAATGCTATTTTTATTATGAATGGTCACAAATTATTCTCCAAAAGCTTTATACTATGAGATTCTATTTATACAAAATTTATTGCCTCTATTTTGTTGTATAACAATTTTACCAACTTGTTTGTGACGGCTTGTTTTGAGGTTATTATTTCTTTTTCAGCTGTTCGGAGTATACGGCCTCTTTCGATTTCGTATTTGAATGCTGCCAATATTATTAGTAGTAGTTCAAGGAACTATGGCACTTTTCAAAACCTGTTAAGGACGCCCATTCACACATGTATCAAACAAAATTCGTTGGTGAATAATACACAGATTTTGGATATATCATCGAAGTTAAGTGTCGTTCCTGTTAGAACTGTTACAAAATTCAGTTTACAGAAGGGTAAAAGGAAGACAGTGAAGGCAGCAGTGCGACGATTCTTCCGTTTACATTGGGGAGGATGGATAAGGTCTAAGGTGGGCAGGCATAAGAAAATGTGGAAGAAATCCTCTTCACAAAAGAGAAGATTGAGGCAACATGTCTTCTGCAACTCTACCCAGAGCACAATGTTAGACAAAATGGTGACAAAGTTTTGGAAGAAGCCAAAGTACTATGTTGATGACCCTTATGCACCATACCATACAAGAGAAGAATTCACCACTACAAGGACAAAACCTTTTGTGAAACAATGAAATAATATTGTTAATGTTAGAATAAAGTTTACTTAGTTTCAGTAATAAATTATTAAGTGTATATTTATGTTAGTTTTGATGTTTAAAATTGCCACATAATTTATTACCATCTGATCACAGTGGGCTAACAGTAAATTTTGACACATTCACAACTATTCAAAAAAATGGAATTATGTTCAGACAAATCACAGTTTAAAATTGAGTCATTAAATCACAACTTAACTCGTCGAGTACGTACCATCATTATAGACACAATTATAGAACAATAGGTTGCGGTCACCGGTGATCACTTGGTGTTTGTCATGAACAATGTTTGTCAGAAACAATGGAGGATTCGTTTGACTCCGACGAAGTATCATGCGATACATCGCTATTGACGCAATTTACTTGCATCCAAAATGAAGATGGAGAAGAAGCAGGAGAATAGGAACAAGAAGAAGATCAAGAAGAGGACCAAGATTTTGAAACTTACGAATAAGACAAATAAGACGAATAAACTGCAACACTTTTTTTTCATTTACATCGCTTTTATCTTTCCCAATCTTCGAAAATTTCCGTTATTTTGCAATAGTTTTACATTAAACAGGATCACAACTGACCCGTGGAGTAGTACTGGGGAAACCACGTTAAAAAAAATGCGCTAAGTACACTATCTCATAGGTGGCGTGGAAACGTGTGCATATTATGACGATAACAACTTTTATATTTTTTTGAATCGTTATATATCAAAAACGATGGCTCGTAAGAAAAAAGTATTGATAATTTTTTATGGATAATTTTATGATCTACAATATTTGTCTGAAGTACTTTTATGATAAAACTTACCGTTTTGCTGAAAATCGCGAAAAACTCATTTTTTTGACCTTTGACCTTGAATTAAATTTTTTCCTTACAGGGGAATAATGGGGAACTTCTAGAAATTGTTTATTATTATGTTTTGAACAACTTCACAGAAATTCAGCTTGTTGGGACTTTATGTAACTTTAGGTATAAAGATTATATTCAATTTCATTAAAATCAGCAATCTGTACAATAATAGTCATTATTAAATTACATTAAAGAGATAAACATTTGAATTTGATGTCACAATATTTCTAAATTAGGTAGTTACTTATATGATAGTCTAAAATAAATTACGTCCTGTACATACCTATATTCATTATTACGCAGTCAAATAGTGGTCCTTACAATAAGTCAATTTATTTACAAATCAATACTAAATTATATTATTATGTCCAATAGGTATACAAAAATATTATAAAAAATGTACATTGTATTATTATTATTCTTCACCATTAAATATGTTATACGAAGCCTGAATTAGAAAGTCTTTCTCATTCAAAAAGTCCTGAACACTGTAATAGGCTTTATTAACTAAAAACCTTCTCAGCTTATTTTTAAAATGTGTCAAGGGTAGTTCTCTCAAAATTTTTGGTAATTTATTAAATATCACAGGCGCCATACAGAAAATACTTTTACGCATGAGGGAAGTTCTCGCAGTATGCGTGCATATCCTACTGTTATCGCGCCTGTTACGTGGGACTATTTCATTTAATAGTTTAAATCGGTGTGGATTCGTTTTGACAAATACAGCTACCTCTAAAATGTACAGACATGGCAAAGTGAGTATTTTATTTTTCTTAAAGTATGGCAGGCAACTATCAGTGGGTTTAATTTTAAATATTGAACGTACGCATCTCTTTTGAGCCTTGAATATCGTGTCTTTTTCTGCCGAGTTACCCCAGAAAATTACACCATAGCGTAGGTGGGATTCAGTTAACCCATAGTAAGCAGCAAGTAATGCCTCTACACCTATTATAGACGATAACGTGTGTAGGGCGTAGGCAGACTTACTTAACTTCCTGCATAAGATTTCGATATGGGCCTTCCAGTTTAGCTTTTTATCAATGTAGAGCCCTAAAAATTTAGTTGTTTCTACCTCTTCTATAGGTTGGTCAGCGTAGTGTACATTGAGACTGCTTTTGGTATTGATCCTTTGACTAAAGTGTATTAATTTAGTTTTAGTCAGATTAATTTTTAGATTATTATCATCTAGCCACTTTACCATTAAATTTATAGATACATTTATATCACTCTCATAAGTATCGATACTTTTACACGGTATTGCTATGGTGCTATCATCGGCAAATAGTGTCAGGGGTTGAGGGATGCCTTTTGGCAGATCATTTATATACAAAATGAATAAGAGAGGCCCCAAAACACTCCCTTGTGGCACACCAAATGAAACTGTACGTTCTCTAGACTGATACACGTTGTCATGTTTACTTTTCATGTCAATTGCGTTTATGTGTGTAATTTGAGTCCTGTTATTTAAATAAGATTTAATGAGATTGTTTACATTTCCTCTGACCCCATACGTCTCAAGTTTATTTAAGAGTGTCCCGTAGTGTACATAGTCAAAGGCTTGAGTCATATCACAAAATACGCCACAGACCGGTTTTCTTTTATCAACATTATGTATAACATTATGTAAAAAATCATAGATGGCCATGTTAATAGTTTTACCCACTCTAAATCCTTTCTGTTCTTTGCATAGAATATTATGTTTTTCTATAAATGAATTTAATTCCTTGCAAATGTATTTTTCAAATATTTTAGAAATTATAGGTATTAGTGATATAGGTCTATAATTCTCCATTAATTCCCTATCTGCTTTCTTAAATAGTGGCTTAACTATTGATACTTTTAGGGCATCAGGATAGACGCCCGCACTAATGCTGAGATTTATAACATGACTCAAGTGACCGCAGATTTCGTCCGCAACTTGTTTCAGTATATTCGTAGCAATACCATCATATCCTACACTACTTGTATTATTTAAGGACATTATTATTTTTTTAATCTCGGTTGGTATACTAGGGGCCATAAACATAGTTTTATTATTGTGGTCTACAGTAAATCCCCTAGGTGCAGACCTCGCTATACCCTGCTTTGGTTGCACCTTATCAATGAAAAAATTATTAAATGCTTCTGCAATAGTACTGTGATGTGTCATGATGCAGTCACCTATTTTAATTCTATTTATGTTGGATTTAGGTACGTTATACTTTGCACGATTAATTATTTGCCACGCGGTTTTAGATTTGTTTTCAGATGTTTTTATATTGTAATTGTTTTGTGCTTTTTGTGTTAGCCGTATGATTTTTTTGTAAATTTTTGAGTAATTATATAATAAGTTTTTGTTATTATGGCTTCGATTTAATCGAAACTGCCATAGAAGTTTTCTTTTCTTTTTACTGCATAATTTAATGCCTTTTGACACCCACTTAGTACGTCGTATCGCATTTATTTTAACCGCTATAAATGGAAAACACAGGTCGTACAGTAACTTGAAAATCGCGGCGAAACAATTATAAGCTACATTTGGGTCATCTGTTTCATAAATTTCTGAAAAAGTAAGACTCTTGAGATGGTTTTTAAATTTTATAATATTTTCCGTATTGTAGTCCCTTCTAGTTGCATACCAATACTTAATACAGCATAGTTTTTGTACGGGACATTTAAGCAGTTGTGCCGTATGATCCGATAACGCCCATTCAAACACTTCAGTCTTACATGTATTAAAGTTATGTGCAAAGTTGTCTATGCATGATAAGCTAGCCATGCGAGTTGGTTCTTTTAAGGCAAGTTTCATATTGTAACTCATTAAAAAACATTCTAATTCAGTCGCTTCTCTGCTTTGCTTAAGTACGTTAATGTTGAAATCTCCGCAAACAACAATTTTTCTACAAGATGAACATAAAATCTCACGCATGAGCATTTCAAGTTTCTCGAAGCAGTAATTTAAATTATTTGGGTTAGGAATTCTATATATACAAACTATTGTCATTTTGTAACTAGTCAGTTCTACGCCACAGCATTCAAATATCCCTGGAGTTGATAATTTTGCTACTTTTGGCAATTCTTTCCATTGTAACCCATTTTTAACAAGGATACACGCACCACCCCGTTTCTGTCCTATTCTACAATAATATGCAGCCAAATCATAGTTGGGCAAAAACAACAAATTCTGATACCCATCCATGATAAAGTGCTCTGTAATACAAACGATATCAATACTAGTATCCCTACTCGCAAGCTCCTCCAGACATACCAACAGATCATCTGCTTTATTTATCAAACCAGCTATATTTTGGTGCAAAATGTTGAGATATTTATTAGAGAAAAAACAATTCATTTTCATCAGTGTCATTGCTTTGTACAGAGTCATGCACATCAGGTACCCCAACAGTAGAATAACAAGTATTTAAGTCACTATACATTACTATTTCATCAATCATTAAACCAATATTGTGCATTATATTAGCCATACCACGATTACCTACAGAGCTACTACTTTTGTTAAACATTGTAAAATCATAGTCAAGATAGTAGTTTGAATCAAACAAATATGCATAATTAAATGAATACGCATCTAGATATATTAAACTGTTGAAGGTTTCAATTCTCGAGTTAAACATAATAGAATAGTCATTCAATTTGAAGGTAGGAGCACATAATATGATATTCGTGTGCTGCAATTTTAATAGTGTTTCACGAATATAAATAGTTAGTTCTACATAATTCTTTGTCCGACGAAAGTCATCTTCCCCTACAAATATCACGCAGTAGTCATTCTTATTGTAGTCCTTCAATTTGAGATCCAAGTCAGAGATAAGGCACTTAACACCACAGTTGGGTGTCAGGTAGTGGCAAATTTTATAATTAGGGAATGTATTTTCTGCAATTTCTAACATTTTATTATGTTTATTGCTACTTATAATACATAATTTGCCCGTTCTAGTTACATTAGATTTACTTTTATAATTTAATTGCGTAGATTGTGTTTCTGTCTTTCTTTGTTCTTTATTGCAAGAGTCACTGATAACGCCATCTGTGATCGCTTTATCTAACTGCGATTGATTTTGTTCATTGGTTGGAAATGTGGATTTCGAAGCTATACTTGGGATGTTTTTATATTCACTAGACGTTTTCGGGTTATTTTTCGCGTACTGTTTAATTTTTGCAGATGTTTTCTTAATTTTAGGTGTTTGCATGCTTGGCT